CACACAGCTCTGCCCCTGCTTTGGAAGTCACTCCTGCTTTTCTCTCTCCAGCAGCTCGGCGGGCCTCCCCGGAGGAGGAGGTTCCGGTGGCCGTTTTCCCGCAGACGCAGCTCTGCCAGCGGGAACGGCCCGGAGCAGCCAGAGCCTGTCCTCCAGAGCATGCTGTTTGGGCAGCCTCTGGAACGGCTCTGTGGGGAAGAGGGGAGCCTTCCCCCGCCAGTTCAGGTACGTCAAACAGGCCACTGGGGACCTGGCCTCCACACACGCTTCTCTGCAGCCAGGCCCAAGCTCAGCTCCCACCACTAGCGGCCTTTCTGCATCCCAGGATCTCATCCCTTTGTGAATCCCTGATGGCTTCTCCTGGCAGGATCTCCTGGCCATCCTGAACAGAGAGGGACCTGCCACAGAGGGCGTCTTCCGCATCGCGGCGAGCGAGAAGGACCGGCGGGAGCTAAGGGAGGCCCTCAACGCAGGAGTCCATGTGGAGTTGGAGAGCAAGCCAGTGAACCTCCTGGCTGCTCTCTTAAAGGTGACCTCTCCTGCCCCGCATCTCATTCCTCCTCCTCCTCCTCCCCAGCTGCCTCCTCTGGGAGGAAGAGGGCGATTTGCGGCTGCAATGGAGGCTCATGGGAACAAGGGCTGTGCCTGCACTCAGCCAAGCCTGCGCCAACGGGGCAGGGACTGGAGCAGCTTGTGCAGTGCTCATGCTCACCCTGGAGAGCAGGGAGCTCAAAGCAAGCTGCCTCCTAGGAGCCCAAGTGCCATGGATGCTCCCTCTAGGCTCAGGGCTCATGTCCACAGCCTCATCTCCATATCTTGGCCTTGCAGGATTTCCTACGGAATATCCCCTCCATGCTCCTGTCCGTGGCCCTCTATGATAGATGGATGCTCGCTCTGGAGACGGCAAGCAAGGAGCAGCAGATTGCAGAGCTCAAAGAGTAAGTGCTGTCAGCAGTGACAGCATTCTGGAGTGTCTGGGAGAGCTCAGGGTCCCCTCTGGCAATGGGCAGGCTCTTGCAAAGACCCATCATCGTTGCTGTCAGCAAGCTAGTGCTGGGAGAACACAACACAGCCCCAGG